TCATTTCTTACAGATCAATCTAGCGTATTTGTCATTTTAAAAATGTCTATATCAACATAACAAATAATAAATTTAAAAATTAAAAAGAAGAAAAATTATTAACCAAAAGACTTGCTTTTCTCTCCATTTTTGTTCCCGTCTTGTCATTTCGTATTCTGTTCTGTCAATCATCTTGGGGAAACATCTTGGGCCCTCTGTTCAACAAGACACAACTCTCATCATTTAAGTGGGTGGTTGGAGGGTACTTTAATGTAGTTTGCTCTTTCTTTCCTATTACTATCAAATATCTGTTGTCCTCATCTCCCTTCCTTATTTGTGTATGTTACTCTCTCATACTCGTAACAACTCTTGTGGGTGGTTGGTGGTTGCTCTGGTGTGGTTTGCTTCTTCTTTCCTATCAAACATCTATCGCCTCTTATCTCCCCTCCTTTTTTTTGTGTTTGTTACTCTCCTCTTGTAACACTTCTATTCTTCAACACTTATATGACCTTATTGTGTTGCAAGTGCTGTAAAACTCTTACTAAAACTAAACCATTTCCCTTCCTTATTTGTGTTAAAACGCATGGACTGAAGACCCGGGTGGATGGTTGGTAGGTGCTCTGGTGTGGTTTGCTTCTTCTTTCCTATCAAACATCTATCGTCTTTATCTCTCCTCCTTTTTTGTGTTTGTTACTTTCCTCTTGTAACACCTCTATTCTTCGGCACTTATACGACCATATTGTGTTGCAAGTGCCGTAAAACTCTTACTAAAACTAGCTGAAGACCCAGAAATACCCCCAAAACCTCGAGGGTTCGTCAAGGGAGCGCCAAGAAAACGGAGAACAAACAGAAACAGCAGGAGAGCACTCAGGAGTCATGACCTGTGTGTGGCCCGCCCCCCTTAGAGAGTCAGGAAGTTATAGGCCGAAGTTCTTCCTCTGAAGATCTCCTGCTGTCCGCTCGCCCCACGAGTTTTCTCCCACACAGCTGTGGGTGGTTGGCGGGTGCTCTGGTATGGTTTGCTTCTTCTTTCCTATCAAACATCTATCATCCTTATCTCCCCTCCTTCTTTTTTATGTTTGTTACTCTCTTGTAACACCTTTAATCTTCTGGCGCTCATATGACCTTATGCAGTTGCGAGCGCTGTAAAACCTCTATACCAAAACTAAACTCTCACACAGCTGAGCTTGTTTACCCACGGCTGCAGTCTCATGTCTTACTGTTAATGGACTCATGGTCATTTTTTTTCAAAAATGCGAAATATAAATTTTCCGTTATACTCAATAGTCAACAATAGCCAACCCATACCGGAAGTGCTCTTTTATTTGAAAGTGTAGACAGTGTCTTCTACTTTCACTTTCTAAAGCACAAGAAGCACAGCACCAACTCTTCTGTAAACAAGAGGAAGAAATGACGATTGTGGTTCAATAGATCTTGGGCCTGCCAAGAAAAGAAAACTATAAAGAGAGCTTGATTTTTTTAACCAGACTTGTTTATTTGTAAGTATTGTTGTGGATTTAAGTTGAATTTTAGCTGTCAAGTTATTTAGATCTAGAATTTAGACTAGAATCTAGAGATCAAGTCAAGCTGTTATATAAAAAGCTATTAGATTAGAGATCTAGATCTAGATCTAGATCTAGATCTAATATTTGTAAGAATTCTACACCTTATGCTGATTATGGTGCAAACCAACACAAGCAGAAAAAAGTTAAACATTAACTGTCAAGTTTTATAGATCTAGAATCTAGATATCTATATATATCTAGTTGTGGATGTACAGTATCTGTACAAGGGAGAAAGCATGTTTGGATTTGGAAATATATGGATTAACACAAGCAGAAAATTATGTAGGCCTATGCAAGGTATGTTTTTTTTTCTCAATTATTTTCTAGTTAAATTTAGGACTGAATAGCCAGAAATGGCATACTTAGGATGCTCTGAAACCAAAAATTCTCAAACAGAAAGGGGATGCTGTCCCCCTTCAACCCCCTGCCAGGGCCCCCGAAAATCCTCGAAAAATGACATCAGCCGCTGGAAGCTCTGAAGGACATCTTGAATTAGAGACATGGATTCAACTTTTGATTGAGGGAATTATTTTTAGGATCAAACGACTAAGATAAAATAGGGATGGGAGCATGGACAAAGTAATGGCTATGGTGTGACAGCGGTGCTATCGGCTGACCATCGGAAAGACACATTTATCCGACATCGTTCTGGTGATCATCGGTTTCCGATGGTGTGTGGGAACCCGACATCATCCTGATGGTGGGTTGTCATCGGAAACCGATGGTAAGTCGGTAACCAACATCGTGCCGATGGTGGGTTGTCATCGGAAACCGATGGTAAGTCGGTATCCCTCATCGTGCCGATGGTGGGTTGTCATCGGAAACCGATGGTAAGTCGGTAACCAACATCGTGCCGATGGTGGGTTGTCATCGGAAACCGATGGTAAGTCGGTATCCAACATCGTGCCGATGGTGGGTTGTCATCGGAAACCGATGGTAAGTCGGTATCCAACATCGTGCCGATGGTGGGTTGTCATCGGAAACCGATGGTAAGTCGGTATCCAACATCGTGCCGATGGTGGGTTGTCATCGGAAACCGATGGTAAGTCGGTAACCAACATCGTGCCGATGGTGGGTTGTCATCGGAAACCGATGGTAAGTCGGTATCCCTCATCGTGCCGATGGTGGGTTGTCATCGGAAACCGATGGTAAGTCGGTATCCAACATCGTGCCGATGGTGGGTTGTCATCGGAAACCGATGGTAAGTCGGTATCCCTCATCGTGCCGATGGTGGGTTGTCATCGGAAACCGATGGTAAGTCGGTATCCAACATCGTGCCGATGGTGGGTTGTCATCGGAAACCGATGGTAAGTCGGTATCCAATATCGTGCCGATGGTGGGTTGTCATCGGAAACCGTAGGTATGTCGGTATCCAACATCGTCCCTACGTTGGATAGTCATTGGAAACTGGTTGTGTGTAGGGATCCAACAAAATCAAAAGCTGGAGACTTTATGTTCGATATTTCAGGAAATATTTGACAACAGTGAATAATTTTTGACCGTACTATTGTACGTACATTCCTAACTTCAACATTCTGTCAACCAACAGCCTCATGTTGTGTCTGAATTCATTGCAAGCGCTGGATTTGCATCGTTTTGCCTAATACACGTGTGTTCAGTAGGGGGTAAATATCACGCTTAGAATCTAAGTTAGATATTTACTATCCAAGAGTGAAGAATAATGGTTACATGTACCGTACTGTTTCGTGTAATTTTTTTCATGGGTTGTCTGGTGAGAGTCAGGGGCACTAAGCCCACAAAACTCTTCCCCTTAACGATTTACACAGCTATCTCCCTTTGGACGTCATGCCGTAAGCACACGCTACAGTGCTGAGGTAAAAAATTCGTGGCGCAATGCATTTTCAAATTTTCCTAAACTATCAAAGCTTTTGCACAATGATTTGTATCACTTTGTCTTAAGAGATCAACAGTTTTTAAACACTTGTTAGCTGTATTTTTTAAAAATTATTAAATGAGTGCTAATAAAACAAATTAAAGTGGGTGATTTCGACAGATTTCGAAAGGCTTGTAACAGCTGGAGCAATATAGCTATAAAAAAAGCAAGTTCGTCATTTTCATCTAATCGCGACATTACGCAAGTTTTAAGAACCTTAAGTGCAAAAAAGTGTGTTCACATTAAAATTAAGATTCTGTAACAAGTTTTGCCACTAAAGAGTGTCATTAGTGAGCTGTAGCGTACCCAGGCAGCAAGGCTTCCTCGGCTGACTGTGCGGCAGTGAGTCGGCAGGGCGGGCAAGCGGATTACTATGTCCAACTGTATTTCATTCCCCACATTTTGTAGCTCATCCCGAGTATTTTTTATCCCATCCCCAATATTTTCTAGCTCATCCCAAATATTTCCCAGACTTTTCTATCTCATCCCCACTATTTTTTACAATCTCATCTACAATATTTTCTAGCTCATCCCCAGTATTTTCTAGCTAATCCCTGATATTTTCTAGCTCCTCCCCAGTATTTTCTAGCTGATCCCTGATATTTTCTAGCTGATCCATAATATTTTCTAGCTCATTCCCACTATTTTCTAACTAAGTCGGTATCCATCATCGTGCCGATGGTGGGTTGTCATCGGAAACCGTAGGTATGTTGGTTTCCAACATCGTCCCTATGTTGGATAGTCATTGGAAACTGGTTGTGTGTAGGGATCCAACAAAATCAAACGCTGGAGACTTTATGTTCGATATTTCAGGAAATATTTGACAACAGTGAATAAGTTGCGCCACAAATTTTTGACCGTACTATTGTACGTACATTCCTAACGTTAACATTCTGTCAACCAACAGCCTCATGTTGTGTCTGAATTCATTGCAAGCGCTGGATTTGCATCGTTTCGCCTAATACACGTGCGTTCGGTAGGGGGTAAATATCGCGCTTAGATTTCCTTAAAATACATTATATTACTATCCAAGATTGAAGAATTATGGTTACATGTACCGTACTATTTATTATTTGGTGTATTTGTTTTTCATGGGTGGTCTGGTGAGAGTCAGGGGCACTAAGCCAACGAAACTCTTCCCCTTAATGATTTACACAGTTATCTCCCTTTGGACTCAATGCCGTAAGCACACGCTACAGTGCTGAGGTCAAAAATTCGTGGTGCAATTTATTTTCAAATTTTCCTAAACTATCAAAGCTTTTGCACAATGACTTGTATTACTTTGTCTTAACAGATCAACAGTTTTGCAAACACTTGTTATCTGTATTTTTAGAAAATTCTTTAATAAGTGCAAATTAAACAAATTAAAGCGGGGGATTTTGACAGATTTCGAAAGTCTTGTAACAGCTGGGGCAATATCGCTATAAAACAAAAAGAGAGATTGGTTTGGGAAGGGACGTCAGGACTCTCTTGAATACCCTCCCCTTGTTTTGTGTTTAGTATTATCATGGTGGGTTAAACTGGGGTGATTTGTGCATTCTCTTTAGGTGGGGTGTTGGTTTTTATCGTATTGATCAATGAGATCAAGGGGCCGTGTGGTTTATAATTCGCTGTGATTACCAGACAAGCCAGAATCACGTGAAATAAGTAAACAAACTCAGTGTACCCTAGTGAGTGTAGGAGAATGAGAGCACGGGGGGTATATAAACAGACGGCGAAGGTTAAACTGGCCTTCCGAGCCACAACTAAAACCTAGTTTGAGCAGGGATCGATGCTACTGGTGGGTCGACACAGTGGATGGAGCTCCGGACCTGTACGACCCACACTCATCGTTCCCCGCTCGAAACAGTGAGTATTGAAACCAACGTAAATAGACTAACGAGTAGAATCTAGGATTAGATAGCAATTATCCTCTCATTACATAGATCTAGGTCTAGATCGACTAGATCTATCACTATACGGTAGCTTAGCTCTTGGAACGAGACCAAGTCTGTCAACGTTATTATAGACTTAGATCAAGATTGTACTAGACTAGACTAGACTAACTAGACACTTGACTAGATCTAGACTTATGACTCTTCTAGATCTGGACTCCTATGACACTTAAGACTCTTGATGAAAGTTACTCGAGCCTGCAGCTGTTGTTTAGATCCCTGTCGCTTACCTATCTGTATGATGAAGCAAATCTCACTGCAGTGTGTGTTGAGATCTAGATCTAGATGACATTATAGTGTGTTGTTTTAAATTTTATACACCAAGTCACCAGACACATTGTTGACTGTGCCTAGATCTAAGACTAAATAAATCCAGAGCCAGTTGTGTATCTCTGTAAACAGTATTTTTCTAGACGTGTGGAGATAATCCAGTGCACACTACACAGATAAATTCTTGTTGATCTCTTCAGTTTTATCTCATTGTACATACTATTTTCATTGATCTCTTAGGTGCAATTGCTGGCCCAGGACCCTCGCAGCCCCCCTCCCATGCTCCCAGTGAAGCAGATCCAGAGTCTCTGACTGCTGTGCTCTACAACAACAAAGTGATGCTGACCAGTCCAGTATTGCTGAAGGTAATGCCTCTCTCAATGGAATTGAATAATAGACTAGGGCTACTACTACTACAATTTATATTGATGCTAACACCTGCTTTAAATTTCTTGATTCATTTACAAAGCAGAAAATAATCGATCTTACATACTTTTTAGCTTTAATTATTCGACTTGAAAAGAACCATGAGAGATGCTGCACCACACTAACTTGTATTGTTGAAGGTGATGCCTCTCAATTAAATTTAATATTATAGCATTATAGTTCAGTGTGATGCTGATTTTTGCTTTAAATTTTAAAATTCCGTTACAAATTACAAAGAAGAAATATCTATTCTGAATACATACTCTTTAATTATTTGACTTGAAAAGAACCAAGAAAAGAGAGATGCTGCACTATCGCAGTGATGATCTGTCACAAACTTGTCGTCACATGAAAGTGAATTTCTTAAACTGAGTAGGTCCATATAAAAATACAGCGATGCAAAACGAAAACAAGAGGTGACAGAATGATGGACAAAAATTCTGGCTTCTTGTTGCAACCTGTCAACTGTAAAGGGATCACGGAGCAAATTATTCACAATTGGTGATCATTAATCACTGGTTTATTTAAACTAATAGTGGTCATTTAAATACAGTGGTGTACAACACTATAAATTTCATTATGCAAGCTGCACACCTTTAAATCGCTCTCTTTTAATTTCTGTATCTACAGACGAGGATGATGCCTTAGGGGTGACCTTCATAGAGAATGTGACAGTGACAGCCTTTGTGGTGCCAGAAGGTAAGGGTGTGGAGCTGACAGCTTTGCGAAGTTGAAGGGCCTGAAGTGCTTCTGCAAGCTCAATGATGGCCTGCCTTGCAACAGCCAGTTCGAATCAACTGCTTTTGACGATCTGCGTTTGTCTTTTGCTGGTATGACACGAGAGGAGCATAATATTTTTTGGACGCGTTTTTACGTAATTCAATGATTTACTATTGTAACATAAAAACAGTCATAACTTCACATAGAAGAGAGGTATTTCACTAAAATAAAAAGCAAACTGTCCACGAATGGCACCTCTATGCTGTGGTATCAGCATTATTTGCTTCTATGCATTGTCATCATGGAAAATAGCATTGTCATCATGGAAAATGTGTTCCCAAAGTAAGCAAAACTTTAAAACCTGTTTTCTCAAAATTTGACACTCGAACCCCTGTTCGCTTTAAAATGCCATAACTTTTCACAGAATGCCCCAGTTGCTTTCAAATAAAGTACAAAATGCTCGGAAAAGATGTGTCTTTTAAAATATATGCCAAAAAAGTTCATTTTGAAATTTTGCACCTTATGAAGGGTTTTCTCAGAGCCACACACGACTTCTGGCGCTCATATGACCTTATGCAGTTGCGAGCGCTGTAAAACCTCTATACCAAAACTAAACCCCCACACAGCTGAGCTTGTTTACCCACGGCTGCAGTCTCATGTCTTACTGTTAATGGACTCATGGTCTAGGTTTGGGGAAATTGTACTAACATATATATATATATATATACACCTTGGTGTTGATTTTATAAGAACATAGTACCGAAGCAACACGTTATCACAGTGTGCAGGGGAGAGCGAGGTGCCCGGTCGATTCGGTGGTTCGGCTTTTGTAGATCTATGCATTTTTTACGGAAAGCCCTATTACCTAACCCTATTACTAGATCTATTAGTGTTGTGAAAACTTCAACCTCTACAGCTCAGGCGTCAAAAGATGCTGGAAAATAATAATACGCCCTGAAGTTTCATAATTTATTTTTATACAGAATAACACAGTACACAGCCAGTAGTTTTTATTTCATCGAGTTATAAAAATGGCCTTCGTATAAAAATTGCCTTGTTTTCAGAAGCAAATTTTAATAGTTCTAGTTCTACCGAATCGATTTTCACGCGAATTCAACTATTTTGATGATCTTTCTTTTCCTTTTAAAAAGATGTAGATCTAGGCCTGTCGGATGTGGCAGTGCGAATAACACTGAGTTGTTTAGATCTAGATCTAGACCCATCAAAACACGAGGCTTCGTGGCCGATCACAAAAGTCTACAGGGATTATCGAGGCCGATTCGCCCTGCTGCAAGCACGTTCACTAAACTGCCTACTAGATAGAATCTACTACCAAATATTCTCTACACGATCTTTCCTACTACTACTACAAGGCCTACTAGCCTACATGTACTACTACGAGACAGTACAAGAGAGTGTCACTCAGGCAAAGATAGTGTAACTTTGACTCGGCCACGTAGTGTACACACTTTTTATACCCCAAACTTAACCCGGAAGTCCATTCGGAGGATTTGACCTTTTCACTTGACCAAAGTGTGCCAAAATGGTAGCCTAGCTTTTGCCCCTCCATGAAGGAAAAATCTGGCCCTCATTCAAACCATTGGGATTGAGCAAAATTTTGCGTATTGTGCTTTGTTCTTTACAATATTCATTATGGTTATGATTTATAAGTTGTACACTGAGACAAAACCGTTCTAAATGAGAAAGGTGCACCATTATAATGAAAGTGGAACGAACTCAGTTGCCTGAAAAGGGTAGTTTGAGCATGTGTGGCCTAAATAAGCTAAACCCCCCTCCCTTACCTTATTTAGGCCATATGTGGCCTAAATAAGCACTCCCATTTTTTTTTATCTCATCCACAATATTTTCTAGCTCATCCCCAGTATTTTCTAGCTAATCCCTAATATTTTCTAGCTCGTCCCCAGTATTTTCTAGTCAATCGATAATATTTCCTAGCTCGTTCCTAATATTTTCTAGCTGGTCCTCAGTATTTTCTAGCTCATCCCCATTATTTTCTAGCTCATCCTCAATATTCCGCAGTATTTTCTAGATCATTCCCATTATTGTATAGCTAATCCTGAAAATTTGCCAGTTTTTTCAATCGCATCCCAAATATTTTCTTGATTATCCCAAGCTAATTATTTTCTAGCTAATCCTCATGAATTTTTAACTCATCTCCACTGTTCCCCAGTATTTTCTAGCTCATCCTAAGTGTTCCCCGGTATTTTTTAGCTAATACCAAAGAGTCCCCACTATTTCCTAGCTCATATCCAATTTTTTCTAGCTCTATCCCCAGTATTTTCTAGTTCCATCCCCAGTGTTCCCCAGTATTTTCTAGCTCATTTCCAGTATTTTTTAGCTCCATCCTCAGTATATTCTAGCTCAACTCTAATATTTTCAACATCATCCGAACTATTTTCTAGTTCATCCTAAATATTTTATAGCTCATCCCCACTAATTTCTAGCTAATCTCTTGTATTTTCTAGTTAATCCCTAATATTTTATAGCTCATCCTTAATGTTTTCTAGCTGGTCCTCAGTATTTTCTAGCTCATCCCCAGTATTCCTCAGTATTTTCTAGATCATTCCCAGTGTTTTCTAGCTCATCCCGAAAATTTGCCAGTATTTTCTAGCTCATCCCCAATATTTTCTGGCTTATCCCAAATATTCCCTAGCATTTTCTAGCTCATCTCCAACATTTTATAGCTCAACCGTAACATTTTCTAGCTCATCCTCAGTATTTTCTAGCTCAACCCTGATATTTTCTAGCTAATCACTAATAGTTTTCACCTCACCCCAAGTATTTTTTAGCTCATCCCTAATATTTTGTAATTAATTCCCAACATGTTCTACTTCATCCCCAATAATTTTTATCACATCCCCAATATTTCCTATCTCATCCCCAGTGTTCCACATTACTTTTTAAAAAAAATCTAATCCCCAATATTTTAAAAAATCTCATCCACAATAATCTTCTGGCGCTCATATGACCTTATGCAGTTGCGAGCGCTGTAAAACCTCTATACCAAAACTAAACCCCCACACAGCTGAGCTTGTTTACCCACGGCTGCAGTCTCATGTCTTACTGTTAATGGACTCATGGTCTAGGTTTGGGGAAATTGTACTGACTATATATACCTTGGTGTTGATTTTATAAGAACATCTTGAATTAGGCTATGGTGTGACAGCGGTGCTATCGGTTGACCATTGGAAAGACACATTTATCCGACATCGTTCTGATGTTGGATGATTATCGGTTTCCGATGGTGTGTGGGAACCCGGCATCGTCCTGATGGTGGGTTGTCGTCGGTTTCCGATGGTGAGTCGGTATCCAACATCGTGCCGATGGCGGGTTGTCATCGGAGACCGATGGTGAGCCGGAATCCAACATCGTGCCGATGGCGGGTTGTCATCGGAGACCGATGGTGAGCCGGTATCCAACATCGTGCCGATGGCGGGTTGTCATCGGAGACCGATGGTGAGTCGGAATCCAACATCGTGCCGATGGCGGGTTGTCATCGGAGACCGATGGTGAGCCGGTATCCAACATCGTGCCGATGGCGGGTTGTCATCGGAGACCGATGGTGAGTTGGTATCCAACATCGTGCGGATGGCGGGATGGTGAGTCCATATCCATCATCGCGCTGATGGTGGGTTGTTATCGGAAACCGTAGGTATGTCGGTTTCCAACACCGTCCCTATGTTGGATAGTCATTGGAAACTGGTTGTGTGTAGGGATCCAACAAAATCAAACGCTGGAGACTTTATGTTCGATATTTCAGGAAATATTTGACAACAGTGAATAAGTTGCGCCACGAATTTTTTACCGTACCTTTTTTCAGCCGGGAAGAAAATTTTACCACCCGTAGCCATGGCCAGCCATTTATTCAAGGTCAACAAGAAAACAACACTCATAAATCCAACACACAACACTATTTAGTAGCGCATATATATATATATTCATCAATTATTTATTGTTGTACCCATAGCAAACAGAATGGAGAATAATAGGGTAATAATCCCCACATAATGAATCCCACAAAATCAGTGACATTGACAGTAGTAGTAGTAAGTTGAGCGTTTCAACTTTGGCTTTCAGTCTAGTTTTATCCATTTTATCCATGATATAGAAGGAGGCCTAATTATCAAATTTCTACCCATCAACCTTGACAAAAGTGCAGCAACACTGACAGCACTAAGCCAGCGGGACAGAAGAAGATACAAAAGAAACCACATTGTCATAAAAGAATTACTATATATGATAACTTACTAATTATTCATAAAATTATATTTATTAAGACTTTTTTAATCTCTCACAACAAACGTGAGTGTGAGTGTATGCGCGTGTGTGTGTGTGCATGTGTGTTGACACACTGAGACCACGCTTCACAACCAAGCTGGACATCAGTTGTATGAGTTCTAACCACACAGTATGTGTACGCGTACTCGCGAGCGCGCGCGTGTGTGTATACACGTCCGTGTGTGTCTGCCTGCAAGCGTGCATGCGTGCGTGGGTGTGTGTGTGTGTGTGTGTGTGTTGACACACTGAGACCACGCTTCACAACCAAGTTGGACATCAGTTGTAAGAGTAAGAGTTCTATCTAACTACCACACACGGTTCATCCACTCCGCGTCTCTGGCCTCGGTGGGACGTGTAGGACCATCGTACAGATCTGTACCGCGGTACGCTGCTGTATGTGGCACACCGGAGACAACAATTTATCAACTTGGCTAAACTCCTAAACTCCGCTCAAAATGTGTTCAAAAACACACAAAAAAGTCTTTTTCACAAACACTCTTCTTCCTCATTTTTCCATTCATTGTATGAGATAAGAACAATAAAAACAAGCATCATGTAACTGCATCAAGAACTCGAGGAAAAAAAAAAACAAGAAGAAAGAAACAATTAAGAAAATTAAAACAGAAAAGTTGGTTAAACGAGAGATCAACATCTGAGGGAAATGAGAGAAGTGGCTACAGGAAGCGTAAAGGAGTGACATCCTTCTGATTATAGCGTTTCAATATAATACAAGAAAACGTTCCTCACACTTTCAAATGCAAAAAACATTTCTTTCAAACCCAGCAAGCAATGCCAGCGTCAGAACTTATACTTCAGTTTGCAGTCTCTAACTAACTAACTAACTAATCCTCCACAACTTTTGGTTGTTATCACACCTAGACAAAACATTCAACATTTCACATCACGGGTGTCTCCGAGAACACAACAGACGTGCGTGCTGATGTGAGGAAAGTACCAAGCCATGGATTCCATCAACTGTGTAAGGGTTAGAGTAGTCAGTGGTCAGTGGTGTGTGGTGGGAAGGGGGACGGGGGGCTGGAAGGCGTTCTCCGGTCGCTCCCAGAGCCTCACTGCTGAGGTATAACGTAGTACCACTTGTTGACTGCAAAACAAAAAAATAAAACAAAACAGCATAAGTATTTTTGTCGTTCACTTTTAGGAAGTCAAGCAGCTGCATAACAAAGAAAGTGTTGGATTGGAACCCACAGGGTAAAAAATCAAGGGGAAGACCACGGGGAACCAGGAGAAGAGTCACAGAAATGGATGTACAGAAAAGTGGGAAGACATGGAGTGACATCAAGCGACTAGCCAAAGATAGGGAAAGGTGGAAAGTGTTTGTTCGTGGCCTATATCCTGGGTGAAAAAAGGCAATGATGATGATTTTTGTCATTATCAGTCGAATCAGTACCATCTATCTCTCCAGAAACATATTTAAGGAAGTTTTAGTAAAATTTTTACTGCACTTGCAACACAATAAGGTTATAGGTGCCGAAGATTAGAAGTGCTACAGGAGAGTAACAAACACAAAAAAGGAGAGGGAGAAAAAAATAAGGACGATACATACTTGATAGGAAAGATGGAGCAAACCATACCAGAGCACCCACCAACCGCCCACAGAACCACAATGAAGAAAAGACAAGCAAATCAAAGACGCAGACATATATATATATACATATATATATACATATATATGTATATATATATTTTTTTATTTAATATATATATATATATATATATATATATATATATACACACACACACATATTTGAAATTATCGATCCAAGCAGTATTTATTTCTACATCTTTTATTTCTTCCTTACCACATATACACGCGCAACCCCCCCCCCCCCCCCCCAACACACAAACACAAACTTTTCACATAGGCATGTAGGCTACACAGATACATTTCCAGATACACACACACATATATGCAGCTAACACACACACACACAACACGTGTCACTTACTGTCTTGACTCTCTGCTGCTGCTGGTCCCACTGCGGCCGACTGAAATAACACACAGACAACACAATAGTTTATTATATATATGGGAATGTCTACAACTGCTTCTACTACTACTACTGCTGCTAGTAGCCTACTACTACTACTACTACTCTACTACTACTACAAATGCTACTACTACTGCTACTACTATTACTACTACTACAACTACTACTGCTACTACTACTACTAACTACTATTACTACTACAATTAGTATTACTACTTCTACCACAACTGCTACTACTACTACTGCTGCTACTGCTACTATTACTACTACTACAACTACCATTACTACTACTACTACTACTACTGCTACAGATACTATTACTTTTACTACTACTACAACTAGCCTACTACTACTACTACTACCACCCCTACAACATGAATTGTAAATTATCAATCACGGCACTATATATGTCTGAGTAAAGAGAAGCACATCAATGTGACAGTCATCATTTAGTGTAGGGGAAAAAGAAAAGACAGGCAGACAGACAGAAACGACAGAAGGAAAGAAAGGAAAACTTTTAACTCACTTCAGACGGGTCACACAACAGTTGCGTGACGTCGCGGCGGGTCTCACAAGCCCTGCGTGACCAACTTTGGAATTTTTTTTTCGCTCTACAAATCACGCACGCATCGCGAGACCCGCCTCGTACCCTTGTTTGGCCAAGCCTGAGCTACTTAGACTTCGTTTCGTATCTCTGGGGCCGGTAGTTTTTAAGTTATTGAAGGTGAAGGACAGTGACCCCAACTGGAGTTGAACAGACCGGAACTCGCGCTTTGTTTTTTTCTATACAGCTGATAGTAATCCGACAGTGGCGTCGTAGTAACGGTCGAAGAAGTCGCATGAACATGAATCACATAATTTCGCCGTTTTCTATACTTCTGTGCGTTTTATTAGTTCTAGTGTCTCAGAATATGATGTGTCTAATGGTTAGGATCCTGGATATGTACCCGAACACGGCCTGAGTCGTAGTTTTAGGGCTAGATCTAGCACTAGTACCGGTGTTGTTTTTCGCGCAACGAAATCACAACGTCGTGCCGTACATCTGTCGCATGTAATTCAGTGTATGGGTCTGAATCAATGCACAGACCAGCTTTTATATTTTCACCAAACACTCGCACATGTATACAAATCAAACCAGAACACTTTGAACTTTTATTTTTGTTGTTGCAGTGAATTTCATTCTTCTTGTCACGTCTCTGGAAATTTTTCGGAAAATCAAATTCATGCCAATTTTTAAAAATTCATACAAATTAAAGTATTAGACTTACACAACTTAAGTTTTTTGTATTAGATTAAGCTTGAATGTTACTTTACTGTGTCAAAAAATGATTACAATATAGGGTAATTCTGAGAGTTGTGGTGATTTATTGAAATACCCCCAAAAACGCCAGTCTTCAACGCTTGTGACTGGTGAAAGGGCCCAGTCGCAAGTGAGTTAATACAACCTACCAGTAGCACCCTCCAACCACCAGCTCGCTTCCCACACTGCACAACATTCCCAAACTTCTCTTGAAACAAGCCACCCATAAGTACCTCAGCAAGACCGGTTCCATTTATGGTCCTTATTTACTGTAACAGTGACTTACACAGGTGTCTGAGCTGTAACGGTTGCACACAAGAAACCCAAGTTTATTCCCTAAGTGGGAAGAATTTTTATTGAGTATCTCAGTCTGTCTGCTGAGATGTTGTATCCCTCTCAGCACAGGTTGGCCTTGACAGGCAGGGTCGAAGCCTATCTCCTAAATTATCTAAATAATTGTGTCGATGAGGGCGTAAAAAAATTAAAATGTTACTTACTTCCTCCACAACTTTCTCAGCCTGGGCTCCGTCGATGCGGAACGGGCTGTCTTCTACACTCACGTTTTTTCTGAGGGGAAAAAAACAAGGACCAGTTTTACAGGACAGCTGAGCAGAGGAAAGAGAAAGACATTCACACATTACATGTTAGAGAAAAAAAGAAGCACATCCACCCAATAACTGCCATTTAACGCAGGGCAAGTGTTTAGACACACAACATAAGGTAAAATACATCCAGAAGTAGGACCTACTAGCAGCACCCTCCAACCACTGACTGCTTCAATGTGAAGCACAAAGCAACACAAAGAGCCGAAACGCTTCAGTGCAACGTCACCTCTCATATAAGAGTCTACACAAATGTGACAAAAATTTTACAATTGAAATGAAAAGAACTGAAAAAGTTTGTTTGAGTAAAGAAAAGCACATCCACACAATTATTTATGGTCATCAGGTGTAGAGAAAAAAAGAGTAAGACAAACAATCTGAAACAGGACCTACCAGTGACACTCCCCCCTCACCAAAACATGCTGACATATAACTCTAGGAAAGACCAGGTTATACCAGAGCATCCACATATCATCTGTACATCGGTGACACAGCTGGAATGTTGCAGCAACACTGGGTAACTGGCAGGCCATGCACTACAAACTATCACATGATCCCACTGCTCACAGTTTAGTTTTAGTAGAGAGGTTTTATGGCGCTCGCATCTAAGGATGAGCGCCAGAAGAAGAAGGGGAGATAAGGACGATAGATGTTTCATAGGAAAGAAGAAGCAAACCACACCAGAGTACCCGCCAACCACTGCTCACAGAGACCTTCACAGGATACTAAATTAACATCAACAACAACTTCTCAGGGTTGCTATAGGAACAACTGACTCTTTCTCTCTCTCTTTCTCTCTCTCACACACACACACACACACCCACCTGTTGATGGCGCTTTCTCCTTCCTTCCCCACCAGATCCTTCCACTGGCCGTAGGTCTCATCAATGATCTTCAGAGTGTATTCCTGGTAGGGAGGAAACAAAACATTAACTTGTCCATCACTTTAGTTTTAGTAACAGTTTTCAAATAGATCCTGTAAGTGGTGAAGATTAGAGGTGTTACTAGAGAATAACAAACAAACAAAAAAAGAAGGAAAAAAAGAAGGAAAAAGAAAAGAAAAGAAAAAGAAGGAGAGATGTTTGAAAGGAAAGAAGGAGCAAACCACACCAGAGCACCCACCAACCACCCACCACTTGTACATGATATAATTATATATGTTGTCTTGTTCACACTGGCTTATATTCATATGTCAGGTACGGGGAAAAATCATAAAATACAATGTATACTGTCAATGCATCATTATAATAGGGGGTTATTGATAAGAGTTTTATGGCACTTGCAACACAAATAGGTCAAATAAGAGAAGAAGACGACAGGTGTTACTAGAGAGTAACCCACATAGAAAAGAAGGGAAAAAAGGTAAGGACGACAGACGCTGGACAGGAAAAGTACAAGCAAACCACACCAGAGCATCCGCCAACCACCCACTTATTTCCTTACAATTGGATTTTAACCGTTTCGCACTTACAGCGCCCGTATGCGCCCGCGCCGGTGACCCCCGCTCATCCCTATAGCGCCCGAATGCGCCCGCCACGGGGGTGTTTGTTTCGTTGCTGCGGGAGGCTTCTACTTTTACTATCATCAGAAGTTTAACTTAGCTATCTTTATTGAGGAAGAGTTCCGGTTTACTATGGTGTTATTCTTGTTTCGCTAGCACAAAGAGTCACTTTTTGAGCGGGGACAAAAGTCGGAGGAGATTTTAGTTGTAAACACGCCATCATGTCTCTAGGATGCATGGGCGCAAAGCTGCCCGATATGAGTACGGCAAAAACAAAATAAAAACACCCAAAGAAAAGTCTTTTAGGTGCTTTCAAGTTTCCACCAGAGGCTTCAATCTCTGTGAATGTGTTGTATTTCTTTTGTGTGGATTACCTCTTTGTCAGTGGCAGAAACTTCGTGAGTTGAAGAAATGTAGTATACGAGGTCTAGATCTAGATCTAGACTCGGAATCCAAGACACGCATCTCAGAAGACCTCTCATATCATTTCATACTCTTCTATTCCACTTATAATTTTGTACTAGTAATTTAGCTCATTCATTTTCCTTTCAGAAAATACTATTTTCATAATTTTTGGTTGTGTTTGTGATTTTATACAATTTTTTTAGTAAGGTACCCCTTCAATTTTCGTGGAGTTGTTGCCCTTGTCTTAAGGATGGGGGGCCACAGCTGGCCAAGCCTGCTAAGTGCGAAAGGGTTAAACGAACAGCAAAACAGCGGAGAAGAAGACAAAAAGAGTGAGACCCTCACCTTGTCCTTGGCTTGTCCTTCAAAGGCAAACTGGTTCTCTGGCTTGTCGTCGGGCACTTTGTAATACTTGAACCACTCGTAGGTCGCCTGGACAAATGGAGAGAAGGCTGATATATGTATATGTCATGAACAGAATGTTAGAAAGACAAAGGAGGGAGATGGAGAGGGGGAGAGAGAGAGAGAGAGAGGGAAAAGGAGAGAAGAAGAGAGGAGGGAGAGAGAGAGACAGAGACAGAGAGAAAGAGAGAGAGAGAGTGGGGAGGGGGCGGAGAAATAATGTCATCAACAGAACCAAAGAGGCAGAGATAAGATTATTTAGAGGAAGGTAGAACACTTCATGCACAGAACAGCAAGAAGACACAAACTATCTTTCATTACTGTACTGACAACATCTGACATTTTATGCAGAAGCAATTCATGTATTTGTTGCATTAAAAAGAAGAAAGAAAAAAAAATAGAAAGAAAAAGAAAAAAAAAACTATTTGAGAAAATAACTCTTCCATGAGTTTGCAGCACATTTCTTACAATGGTGATCTCCCTTCCCTTATACTTCAACAAACCCGAGACATAATATAATAGGGTGCTTTTAATATCATCACTATCATACTAAATATCATTATCATCACCATCTTTAATATCATTCTCATTCTCAATTTATATCAGCATTATCATTATTATTATCATCATTATTATCAGTATCATTATCATTTTCAATATCCTCATAACTTATTATTTTTTTCAACATCATTATATGATCATTATTATCATTTTCATCATTACAATTATTCTTACCTTGAGGAGCCCAGGGAACTGCTTTTCCACATCATCAATATCTGTACAGAGGAAAACAACAACAAAAAATTAACCAACTTCTTGTCAGTTTGGGTTACAGAGAAACACTACGACTACTTTCTGCTGAGCTAAAAATAGACAGAGACTTGAGAGACAGACGGACGACAAAAACAGAGTAGGAAGCAAAAGTCGCCAGCTCCAATCATCAGCCAAACTGACGATACTTTGAAAGTTAGTTGTGGACTGGGGTGTCTGTGGACTGCCTGCCCACCCTGAGAAGAGGCATGCATGTTGAGGATAGGAGGGTATAAGGATTTTCATGAGATTGAAAGACGTAACTGCCCTATGACCGTGTAGTTTCGGTAGGGTTCACGTATGGAAAATTAGAAGACAGAGATTTTTTTAAAATTTTCACACACACTTGAATTCATGTTTTCACAATTTTTAAGGAACTTTATGAAACGAAACAATTTGTAAAATGTTATAAGGGGCCCTACTACACTGTAACACATGACACTGGGCGACTCAAGCTGCTAATTTAGAATATTCTTATAAACAAAATAGCGTAAAACGTGAAAAGAAAATAGCATGAGAAAACAAACCTGGTGTAGAGTATTATCAAACAATACTACGCCTAATAATACTGACTTTGTCTAGCAAATATTTTAAACCGTCAGTAACCCAGTAAAATTCTCCCTAATTAATGGATGATGATTTCTGTGGACATTTTTTTTTACTTCAATGAAACATCCCCCACAAGCTGGAAGAAATACTGATTTCTCCGGTCCCAAAAATTTGACAAGTACACGATTCTGCCACAATGACCCTCACACAATATTATATATACAGAGACATCCATCTTCATTCCCACTCACCGTTGATGGAATCAGCCTTTGGGTCGGTCACATCAATGGCCAGAACCTTCCAGTCTGTCTCTCCTGTACAAAACAACAGTACAGATGTTAGTGTTCAGTAGGAAGCACCAGCAAGTCCACATGATATAATACACACACACAATAACACACAATTTTTGCTAGAGATTTATTTCTGCCTCTCACACAATTACACACACAGTTTTTAAGTTTTTGCCAGAGATTTCCTTCTTCCTCATATATACAGCATGTCCCTATCATAACACAGCCTTCCCTGTGTATATAGTTTTTTTATAACACCCCCCCCCCCCCCC